TTTTAAAAAATAATTCTGCATTTATTTATTTATTTATTTATTTATTTATTTATTTATTTATTATTTAATTCTTACAGTACTGATAGAACAAGGTCGGTGTCTTTGTTCATTCAAGCTGCTAAAACAAAATAACAAAATTCTCTCAAGCTCATTATCTGAAGGCTAAAAAGTATAAGATCAAAATACCAGAAGAGGGGATGGACAGATCACTCAGTGGTAAAGAGCACTGCTGTTCTTTCAGAGGACCAGAGTTAGGTGCCCAGCATCCATCTTGAGCAGTTCATAACCACCTGTAAATCTAGCCCTAGGGGATCCAACATCCTTTTCTGGCTTCTGAACTCACACACAGACATGTTCGCACACACGTTCACACATGCACATACACAAATAAAATAAAAATTTTAAATATCAGTAGATTTGTTACTTTGTTGTTTCACTCATGGTGAAATGGGTAAGGAGGTGCCCTCTAACCTCATTTATTTTTTTAAAAATGATTTCTTTATTTTTATTTTATGTATATGAGCATTTGCCTCCACGTATATAAGTGTACCTGTGTCATGCAGTGCAGTGCCCATGGAGGTCTGAAGATGCCATCAGATCCTCTGGAACTGGAGTTACAGATGGTTGTTAGCTGCCATGTGGGTGCTAGGAACCAAAGCCAGGTTCTCTGCAAGAGCAGTCAGAGCTCTTTACCATGTAGCCATCTCTCCAGCCCCTCTAGCCTCATTTATAGGAGAGTAGAGCTAGTGTCAAGTTCATAGCTTGCTCCAACATATACATTTCAGAGAAACACCAACATAACCATAGCAACCAATGGGGCTTATTTCTATGAACAAAACAAGAAAGAGATAACAATATCTTTCAAAACTCAACTTGACTATCAGGTCTTATAGGAAGATTTCCAGTTTTCTAGGAAAAAGTGGTAACTTATTCCACTTTCTCTTTGAAAAGTATGCCTTAGAGAAGCATGTTACATGTACTTATCACACTTTCTTGCTTTCCATGATAACTTGTTTTTTTCTCATTTAATAACCTGTACATTTCTTGACCCTAGGGACTTAGTAACCAAAAACCTATTGAATGCAGATTTTACGTGTTCTGCATGTGCTGAGTCTATAACTTCATGATCAGTAAAACTCACCCTGTCTTCAACAAGATCTAGTCTAAAGACAGGGTGATTAAATGAAGAAATGAGCACATGCTCATACATACACTACAATATGTCATAAGTGGAGAAACACCATCCTGCCCAGTTTAGGGTTTCAGGGAAGGAATCTTAGGAGAATTAATATCTGTCCTAATCCATGAAGGAAAATTAGGAGTATCCAAAGAAGGCAAACAATGCTAGCTTAAACTGGAAGCAAACATTAAACTTCTTTTACATTTGGGAACAACATGTAGAAAATCATTGGGTGGAATGACAAAGGATTGAGCTGGACAAATGAAATGAGCCTGGATTTTGATGGGTCTGTTATGACATATGGAGGATATTGGATTCAGTCTCAGAAACTATGGGATTAACCTGGAGTGAAGGAGTGTAAGATGGTCAGTCACAGGACATGGGGTGAGTTAGGAAAAAAATGCTGAGGACCTGATAGAACAGGAAATACATGTAAGTGGAGAAGGAATTAGAGGACTTGGAAGTTTCTTGCTTAGGTAACAAAACAGATGGAAGTTTTATTCTTCATGAAAATGGGTACAAGGGTAAAGAAATGTTTGAAGGTTTGGAGTGAGAAGGTGAGAGTGCCATTTTGAATATTTTGAGCTTTTAGGTATTCATGGAAAGTTGAACTAGAAATGTCTGTTGGATGTGCATTCTGAAGCTTAGAAAACTTACTGTCTAGATTTCAAGACAATACTGCCATACTCGCTATTCATCCAACGTGTATTGAATGTTACACAGAGATAGGAACTCAATCTTTAGTAATTGCCATTGGATATATAAACCAAAAAGACTGTACATGGAACCTTCCTGAGTGTTGGCAATTATGAGGAGAGAGTAAAAACATTCTGTAGATCAAAAAAAACTTCAAAGAGCAGGGAGGGAGCTACAAAAAAGAAAAACAATTCACAAGTCTAGAAACACTAGAATACCAATAAATTTAAATATTGCTCGAGACAAAATACACACATTTAGAAGGTCGGAAGTCAGAGGCCACGTTTTGTTTCCCTCAATTCCTCCCTAATTTATTTAATATTATTTACTCCTATGCTATGTCCAGACATAGGATGATTGAAAATATCAAGTTCCTTTTTCATAAAGCATGTACCAGACAGGTACCAGGCAGCTAAGTAAAGAGTATTTACATTTGTGGTATGCTACAAAGAAACAGGCTCAAAAAGAGAGCAGGGACTATTTAGAAATTCTGGACAGCTCATGATTGAAGGACAAAGAGAGAAGAACCTATCAGACATTTCCTGCTTTTTGTTTCCATTGAGATATGATAACTGTACAGCTTTATGGTAATTCAGTACATGCATGCAAAGCATAATGATCCAATCAGGACAATTACCATTTCTAGCTCTGAAGTGTTTATTTGCTTGTGTTGGAAAACTCTGGCTTCTCTTCTCGTTCTTTAATGATAACTGTACAGCTTTATGGTAATTCAGTACATGCATGCAAAGCATAATGATCCAATCAGGACGATTACCATTTCTAGCTCTGAAGTGTTTATTTGCTTGTGTTGGAAAACTCTGACTTCTCTTCTCGTTCTTTTTAAAAATTCTTAATCATTGTGAACTACAACTAGCCTATTGCAGGACGATTACCATTTCTAGCTCTGAAGTGTTTATTTGCTTGTGTTGGAAAACTCTGACTTCTCTTCTCGTTCTTTTTAAAAATTCTTAATCATTGTGAACTACAACTAGCCTATTGTATTGTGTTTCAGAATATTTAACTTCACTAATATAATAGAGCTTGGTATCCTTCAACTGCCCTTCTCCCCACTACCCTTTCTAACCTCTACTGACTACCATTCCATCTGCTTCTATGGGAGCC